GTGCCCTGAGCCCCCCGAGGCTGGGCAACCACTGGTGGGAGCAGAACCGTATGGCGTTGCTGTACGAGCCTGACTCTGGGAGGAGAGGAAATCTCGCTCCTTGTTCCACAGGCCACAGCTCAGAACACTAAGCTAGGCACGCGGGCCTGCCTCCCTGTAGTCTCGCTTTCCCAGCAGGTTCCAGACATGATGTTAGAACTGGGGCCATGCAAACCTTCCATGGAGGGCTCGGCTGCGTGCTTCAAAGTGCTTGGCTCCCACTGTAATCCAAATATTTTAGTGGGTACAGAGGTAAAACGTTAGGATTCTAAAGGTTTGCTGTTTCTTCCTCCTTTCTGCTGTCAGTTCCGTGCTGGCTGTCTGCAACCCACAAAATTGCGAGGAGAAGTTTCAGCTCTACCTGCAGATCGTCAATTTTATTAAAGGCCTTTGCTGTGTTAACACTCAGTTCAAACAGGTAGGATGGAGCAGAGTACAGTGAGGCCTTGGCTTACCTCCCCTCGGAGGGCGAGAAGGGCTCTGGAGGGGAGACCCGGCTACAGGCCCCCCAGCTCACACCCCGGCGGGGGGACGTTCTTCCACGGGTGGTTGACTTCGGCCTAATGCATCCTGTGAAACGGAGGCTGTCCGGGGAAATGGAGGGGAGAGACAGAGGGATGCTCTTCAGAGCAGACCTGAGCCTGGGAGTCTCTTGATGCCGGGACCAGACCTCAGGGGCCTGGCCCTTCGCAGGCATTCCTACATGTTGTGTGACTCCTTGATGCCTTTCTAAGAGGCCGGACTGTTTCATTGTCTTCGGAGACCCCGGGGTAATATTTGCTGCCAGCTTTTGAAGGATATTAATTTCTGCTTCCAAAAAGCTGACTGTGCAGCCCACGGGGACATGCACTGTGGGGGGTCTTGGTTAGAAGGTCCATTCCGGGAAGCTTCCACGGGGGGAGAGGGTTACGCCTGAGCTGCCAAGGGAACAGGCCCTTTCAGGTTCATAGCCATTGATCTTCTCACGAATTTAGCAAAACTATAGCTGTTCATTAAAAAAGGTAAGTGATAGTGATGAAAATGTCTTAAATAATTCGGACAGCTTTTCCATGGGGCCCTCTTCCCGCTAACCCTTCATTTCCCTCTGCCAAGACCACTTTGAATCTCCACTTGGAGCCAGGGCCCTTCCCTGCGCTTTGCTGTCCACCTCCCAACCGTTGGCCACCGGCTCTGACCACTGTGTCCCTTTCTCTTGACACAGTGAAGTCAGTTCACTTTACCAAGGCCTTGAGAATGGATCGATGGGACAGTCTTTGCTTTCCCTGCTTCCTTTCTCTACACATGGCAGGAAACAAAGAACAGGCAGGGCTGGAGCACCCATGGAAAGCAGAGGTACTCAGACTTGAATCGCCTTGGGAGCACATTGGAAATGCAGACTCCTGATGTCCCCACACCCAAGATTCCCATCCAGTGTTGCGAGATGCAGCCCCAGAAATCTGTATTTTGAACAGGCTGTTCAAGAGTGTCCTTGTGCAGGAGGCCTCAGGCTTTGGTAGATGGCTTGTAAAGAGGGCAACTGCATTCTCTTCCCCGTTTGCCCCCCGCTATCACCTTCATGGGAGGTGGCTGGATGAAACTTAATTAGTACCTGTATTGGTTTCCTAGGACTGACGTTACAAATTACCACAAACTTGGTGGCTTAAAACAACAAAAATCTATTCTCTCATAGCTCTGGAGGCCAGAAGGCCAAATCAAGGTGTTGGCAGGGCCATGCTCTCTCTGAAAGCTCTAGGGAAGAATTCTTCCTTGCCTTTTCCTAGCTCCTCGTGGCTCCCAGCAATCCTCAGCATTCCTTGACTGGTAGCTGCATCACTGCAGTCACTGCCTCCGTCTTCACATGGCCTTCTGCTGTGTATCTCTCCGTCCCTCTCATCTTGTAAGGACACCAGCCATTTGGATTGAGGGCACACTCTAAATCCAGATGATTTCGGCTTTAACTAATCTTACATCTGCACAGACTCTATTTCCCAATAGGTTTCAGGAGGATATGTATTAGAGGGAACACTACTCAACACATTTCAGCACCCAATTCCAGCAAACACCTCTCACAGCCGAGTGCTTTCACAAATCTGCAGCTTAAAAATGCCTCATCACCGTTTCCAGAGGCGTAAGGAAGTAGAACATTTGGAACGACATTCAAGCACTCCGTGTCACAGAGACTCCAGCGTGTGCTTCCCTCCCAGGACGCTTGCCTCCGGCAACCACTATGCTCCGACTCCCTCTTTTCTCAACCTTTGCCCTATCCTCACCCTGAACAATGGGCCTGGGTGATTTTCCTTCTACCAGCTGTTCCCCGTCTTGGATCTCCTGGCTCTCATGCGCCCCTCCCCCATCAGAGCACAGCAGGTGAGGACCATTCTCCAGAGCTGGAGAGGCTTCATTTGCAGAGTCACCCCCAATCTGGCCGTCACCCTGGGGGCCGGGTCCCACGTTCATAAGATGGTTGGCTGGATTAGGGGTGCTTCCCGGGGCCCAAGGGGATCAACCCCTAACCATCAGGGCTAACATTACAGGGCTGATTTTCTGCTGGGGTGGGGAGAGGTAGGAAGAACATAAACCCAGGAATGTACGGTTAGGGGAAGAGGTAATGGGGAGTCAGAGAGGTTGGCTGGGGTCATTGTTAAGGGACTGAGAAACCCTTGCTAAACAGACATAGCGCTGTTTCTTTTAAAAAATTATCTCCAAACAGCTAACCCATGAACGTGGTTTAAAGTTCGAAAGTTACCAAAAGATACACAAAGAAAACATAGTCTTTCGCCTACCACTGTCCCTTGCTTACTATCGCATTCCCTTCCCTGAAGGCAATTACCATGACCGGTTTCTGTACAGCCATCCAAAGGTATTCTCCAGATATTTATGTAATCTTTCAAACACAAATGGTAGCCTGCTATACACATTGCTCTGTACCTTGCCCTTTTAAACCTTGCCCTTTTAAAATAGTTTATCCTACCGATAGAGAGGGATCTCGTTCCTTTTTTCTCTTTTGAAACAGCTGGTGGGTGCATAATGGTGTAATTCACCATCCTCTGTTGAGGGCATTTGGATGAAGCTTTAAGACTGCCCCCGTCTCTCTTATGGCATCCCAGAAATCTCCAGGAGAGGGAAGAAGTCAGTTCTGTTGAATCCAGGAGAAGCCATTCTGGAGATCACAGAGTACTGAGTGGAGTGAAATAGAAATGGACGCCCTGCCCCCCATTGCTCTTAACTTCCTGGCTGGAAACTGGAGAAGATACCACTGAAGAGACGTGGGGGAGAGACAGAGGGAGGGGGGCACGTCTGAGATGATGGGGGCTTCTCCTCTGCCTGAGGCCCAGAGCCCTTAAATAAAGTTGAATCCTCTTCTACCTGTGTTTTGCAGGAACCAGACCTTCCCGTCGACGATGAGATGGTAATGTTGAGGTGCACGGAGACGTTTGACGATGAAGATCTGTGATGCAGTGGGAGCAGGAGGGAAGGAGGGCGGGCAGTCTCCAAGTCTGAATGCTCGCAGCCCAGGTTGCCCCTGCCTCAGCCTTGCAGGACGTTTTGGAGTGGGCTGTCCTGAAAGCATTTTGATGGTTGTAGTTTCTGATTATTATAAAGTATTTAAGAGGAGTGTGGCCCCGTGTCAGTCTTTCAGGGTTGTTTGGTATGAGGTGCTGGCCTGCTGCAGGGCACACACCTGCTCCCACTGTGCTCCTATTCAGGGGGTACCGGATGCACCCGAGGCCTAGGCCACGAGCCTAGGGCCTGTACACTGGGTGTAATGGTTAATTTTGTACGTCAACGTGGCTAGGCCATGGTACCCAAGTATTTGGTCAAACATTATTCCAGGTGTTTCTATGAAGGTATTTTTTTAGAAGAGATTAACATTTAAATCAGTAGAGCTTGAGTAAAGCAGATTACCCTCCATAGTGTGGGTGGGCCTCATCCAATCAGTTGAAGGACTGAATAGACCAAAAGATTGACCTCCCCCAGGAAGAGGGAATTCTGCCAGTGACTGCCTTCAGACTCCAGCTGTAACTCTTCCCAGCCTGCTGGTCTACCCTGCAGAATTTGGACTTGCCAGCCTCCACAATCACATGAGTCCATTCCTTAAATATCTCTCCCTGCCCTGCCCTCCCACCATCCCCATATATATATGTGTGTGTGTGGACACATCTATATATCTCTCTGCAGACATGTATGTGTATACACACACCCACACCCCCTACTGGCTCTGTTTCTCTAGAGAATCCTGACTAATCCACTGAGGATGCAGAGAGAACAGGTTCGCCTGGCTCTTTACAGTTTATACATCATAACAACAGTGGCTCCACTCCACTGAAGGCCTCTCAAATGCTTTGACTGTTTCATGTCCCTGTGAGAACCTGACATGCAGGTTAAGTCTTAGGATCCAAACCTGGTCCTGACTCCACAGCGCCAGGGCCCACAGCCTCACTATACCATCCTGTGATGCACAGTCTGACCCCAAGGACTGGTGCTGGGGCTGTGCAGGGATTGTAGCTTTGCTGGCCCTTCGGGGTTCACAAATGGCAGGGGCCTGGCGGGAAGGGGCCTGGAAGAGGAAGCGTCTGGAAGAGAAGGGCCTGGGGGGGGGCTGGCAGGGCCTCCAGCCTCTTTGGGGAGGAAGAGAACTGTTCCTGTCACCTTTCAGCAAACAGCCCCATCTCTGTCGCCTGCCCCACCCAAAGCCTCTTCCTCCCGATGCATCAAAATACTGCCAAGAGGACTGGTTTACACTGGAGATGGGAGGGCTGGAGCACAGTGGAAGAAAGCAGCTTGAGGCCAGACCTCGGTGACTAAGTGACTGGGTCAAAGCATGCTTGTCACGGTCTTAATCTAATACTTATTTGGCTGCCACCACACGCGGGATGCAGAGGTACTCGAGAGGACAGGGTCCCCCCCCATACATGAGTGGGGAGCTCAGCACATTGGGTGGGGGGATAGTGACGCCTCTGGGACGTGCAGAAGGAGAGTTCTTACATCATGGTGTCTGTGGCGCCCTTGGGCCACTCTTCTGAGGGGTCCCGGGAGCAGAGCGTCAGCTGGCTCACCCCCACCTCACCTCTCCCACCACGTTCCAGCTTGGGCCAGAAAGGGAGGCACCGGGTGCAGGAGGATGCGCAGAACCTGGTGCCGATCCCCCAGGGGAGGCTGTAGACCTCTGAGATCTTCGTAGTCTCCTCAGACTCCTTCTGGGTTTGATTCCACGCCAGGAGGCCTCTCTCCTCCAGGCTTCCTAAAGGGAGCCAGCAAGCAGTCAAGCCTGGGCCCTGAGGGAGGGGGCAGAAGCCTCTGGTGCCCCCCTGCAGGCACTCACAAGGCCTCGTCTCAGTGCCCTGCACCTGCCAGCAGCCCCTCCTCCTCCTCCAAGCCCACCCCAAGAATCAGCTCAGCTCAACTCAGCTCATCATCAGGTGTTCCCTGAGCTCCGGGGTACGACCTTCTAGGAACCACTGTTCTTTCCTCATCTTCCGGAGCGGACCTTTCTATATTTCAATGTTTCTGGAATGCAGATGCATTTTGCATTTGGTGGAGAGAAGAAATGTGGGAAACGGAATACCACGAAGCAGGAGCTATCACAGAGGTCCTTTCAAGGGGCCATGGGAGGATCAAGAAGGGAGCACTGAAAGCCACCAGTGAGGGCAGCTCTGCACTCTTCACCTCAGCGCTCATGGGCTTCGTTTGCTCATCGTCACACTTACTTCCCTGTATTGTAATGGTCTGTTGTCATGTGTCTCTCCTCTATTAGCCTGTGAGTTTCTAGAAGGCAGGGGGGCATGTCTTACAGCCCTTTGTATCCTCAATACAGAGCACCTGGAACACAGTGTACTTGCTGTGGTTTTTATTGGAACATGAATAAATGAACACATGCATTCTCTCCCTCATCAACTAGACAGCAGGCTCTAAGAGAGCTGGAGCTATGTCTTTTGCTTTTTGCTTCTGGTGTATTTCTCACCTTAGGGTCCTTTTATGGGCTGAATTGTGTCCCCCCCCGACCCAAAAAAATCATGTTGAAGCCCTAACCCCACAAACCTCAGAATGTGACTGTATTTGGAGATAGAATCTTTAAAGTGGTGATTTAGTTAAAGACGTAAAGATGCGGTCTTTAGGGTGGGCTCTAATTTAATCTGACTGGTGTCTTTATAAGAAGAGGAGATTAGGATGCACAGAGAGACAACAGAGATGCACACACAGGAAGGAAAGGCCATCCATCTGCAAGTCAAGGAGAAAGGCCCCAGGAGAAACCAATCCTGCCAACACCTTGTTCTTGGACTTCTAGCCTCTGGAACTGTGAGGAAATACATTTCGGTTGTTTAAGCCTCCTAGTCTGTGCCATTTTGCGATGGCAGCCCTAGAAAGCTAGTACAGGCCCATACACCCCACCCAGACGCAGGGCCCACTCAGGGTATGCTGTGGCCAGTCTTACATGAGAATTAGGGCTAGAGAAGCAATGTGGGTGAACCAAATGCTGACCATCTACCCAAACTGCCAGCTTACAGAGCAAAGGTGAGCCCTACCAGGGATGGTGTTGTCCAGCAGAAAGCCCAGAAATCCACCAACAAACATGCCTGTGGTCAGCAGCACCTGGATGACCTGGTCCAACTGCAGAATCCCTAGAGTGAAGACAGAAGTGACAGGGATTAAAACATGGGCAGAGATTTTTCCAAAGAAGATATACAGATGGCCAATAGGTACATGAAAGGTGTTCAACATCCCTAATCATCAGGGAAATGCAAATCAAAATCACAGTGAGATATCAACTCACACCTGTTTGGCTTTTACCAAAAACACAAGAACTAGGAAGTGTTGGCAAGGGTGTGGAGAAAAGGACCCTTGGGCACTGTTGGCAGGAATGTAAATTAGGGCAACCACTATGGAAAACAGTATGGAGGTTCCTCAAAAAATTAAAGATAGAACTACCATATGACCCAGTAATTCCACTCCTGGTTATTTATCCAAAGAAAATGAAAACACTAACTCAAAAAGATATATGCACAGCCACCTTCACTGCAGCATTATTTACAAGAGCCAAGATATGGAAACAACCTAAGTGTTCATCAATGGATGAATGACTAAAAAAAATGAGGTATATATTTACAATGGATATTATTCAGCCATAAAATCTGGCTATTTGCAACAACATGGATGGAACTTGAGAGCATTATGCTGTGGCATAAATCAGATAGAGAAAGACAAATACTGTATGATCTCACTTATTATATATAGACTGTTAAAAAAAAAACTCATAGAAAAAGAGATCAGATTTGTGGTTACCAGAAGCAGGGGGTGTGAGGAGGAGGAATTGGAGGAAGGCGATCAAAAGGGACACACTTCTGGTTATAAGATAAATAAGTACGAGGGATGGAATGTACAACATGACGACTATGGTTAACACTGCTGTATGATATATAGAGAAGTTGGTAAGAGAGTAGATCATAAGAGTCCTCATCACAAGGAGAAAAATTTTTTTCCCATTTCTTTTTATTGTGTCTATATGAGGAGATGGGTGTTAACTAGACTTATTATGGTAGTCGTTTCACAATATATATATGTCAAACCTTTATGCTGTATACCTGGGACTCATACAGTGATGTATGTCAATTATATCTCAATAGAACCGGAAATAAATAAGTCATGGTGATGTAATGTACAGCATGGTGACTATAGTTAATTTTTTTAAAAAGTGACAGGAATTCCCAGGGACCAGGGACCCCACCAGCTCTGCCCCTGGAGTGGTCACAGTCTAGAGGATGGAGAATCACCTGTGTGGAGCCTCTCCGGGTTCTTGTTCACCCAACTGGGAACAGCAAGCCCACAGTAGATGGAGAAGCCAAAGACAAAGAGGTTTCTGGACGAGTTCAAGTCCACGTACTGCAGGAGAGAGGCCCCCATGGCAGAGCCGGAACGATCAGTACCTGTATTGCACATCAGTCAAACACCCGCCCAGCCAGCCCACCCGCCGCCACTTGAGACTGGAGGGGGAGGTTGGGCTCAGAGGACACACGTTCTCAGACAAGTCCCGACTCCCACTTGACACTGGGAGCTGAGTGGTCTGGATAATCCAATTCAAACTGATGCAATTTTGTTTTTCAGAAATTTGGGTGCTTCTGGTTATTTCTTTCTCCCATTTGGGGCCAGTGCGGTTTCTGGGACTGAGGATTCCCTTCCCCTCCTCCCTTGTCCCCACCCTGTTCCATTCATCTCCATCCCCACGGGCTCCTTTCAGGAGATGCAATGCTGCTGCTTTCCTAAGGGTGCCTTGCCTCACCTGAAGATTGGAAATCCCCACGGCAGTGATGACCCCAAACATCACCAGGAACATGCCTCCGATCACAGGGGTTGGGATGGTGGCAAACGCAGCCCCGATCTTCCCAAATATGCCCATCAGGAGCAGCACGCAGCCTGCAGCAACAATCACCATCCTGCTCCCTACCTGTAGCACTCAGGGAGATGGGGGAGAGACGAGGAGCTCAGCACCAGCTGGGCCACACACCCTGGAGGCCTCTGCCCTGCTCCTGGGGCATCACAAACAATGGCTCCAGGGGACCCACAGGAGCAGCATCGACTGACCCAGAAATGGCCCCCCTCTACTCCCACGTGGTGCTGGCGAAAGCATGAAGGTGTGACCTTGGGTCCCAGCCTCTGCCCTCACCTCTCCTCTCTGCTGCTCTCATACATGTCTTCAAGTCCTGACTCCAATGCTCCTTCTCTAGGCAGACTTTATAGTGAGGCAAAAAGTCTCTCTTGGGAGGGAGTGGCCCAATGCTTAAGAATGGGGTTTGAGAGCCAATCCCAACTCTGCCTCTAACTAGCTGCTCGGCTTCACGAAAGTTACCTAACCTCTCAAAATGTCAGCCTCCAAATTTACCAGGTGGGATTAATACTACTTACTTCACAATCTCATCTTAGGAGGACAGCATTACCTTGATACCAAAGCCAGATAAGGACAGAAAAGAAAAGAAAGTACTGTGTGGGTTCACTTATATGCAGATTTTTTTCAACAGTAAATACTGCAGTACTAAACAATCCATGATAGGTTGAATCTGTGAATGTGGAACCACAGATATGATGGAACCATGGATATGGAGGGACCACATGTACAGAGGTCCAACTCTAAGTTATACACAGATTTTCGACTGCAAGGAGGGTTGGTGCCCCTAACCCCACCCCACTCCCCACATTGTTCAAGGGTCAACTGTACAGACCAATATCCCTGATGAATATAGATGCAAAAACTATCAACAAAATGTTAGCAAACCAAATTTAACAGTACATTAAAAGGATCATACACCGTGATCAACTGGGACTTATCTCTGGGATGCAAGGATGTCTCAACATGTGCAAATCAATAAATGTGATACACCACATTAAAAGAATGAAAGATAAAAACATATGGTCATCTCAATACACACAGAAAAAGCATTGGACAAAATCCAACATCCTTTCAGGATAAAAAAAACTTTCAACAAATTAAATATAGAAGGAATGCACCTCAACACAATAAAGGCCATAAACAAAAAGCCCACACCTAACATCATACTCAATGCTGAAAGGCTGGAAGCTTTTCTTCTAAGATCAGAAACAAGACAAGGGTGACAACTCTCACCACTCCTATTCAACATATTACTGGAAGTCATAGCCATAGCAATCAGGTTAGATAAAGAAATAAAAGGTATCCAGGGCTTCGCTGGTGGCGCAGTGGTTGAGAGTCCGCCTGCCGATGCAGGGGACACAGGTTCGTGCCCCGGTCCAGAAAGATCCCACATACCGCGGAGCGGCTGGGCCCGTGAGCCATGGCCGTTGAGCCTGCGCGTCCGGAGCCTGTGCTCCGCAACGGGAGAGGCCACAACAGTGAGAGGCCCACATACTGCAAAAAAAAAAAAAAAAAAAAAAAAAGGTATCCAAATCAGAAAGGGAGAAGTAAAATTATCTTTATTTGCAGATGATATGATCTTATATATAGAAAATCCTAAAGACTCTACCAAGAAATTGTTACAACTAATCAATGAATTCAGTAAAGTTGCAGGATACAAAATCAACATACAGAAATCAGCTGCATTTTTCTACACTAACAATAAAACATCTGAAAAAGAAATAAAACAATCCCATTCACAATAGCATCAAAGACAATGAAGTACTTAAGAATGAATCTAACCAAGGAGGTGAAAAATATAAGACTGATGAAAGAAACTGAAGAAGACACAAATAAATGGAAAGGTATCCCATGTCATGACTGGAAGAATTAATATTGTTAAAATGTCCACACTACCCAAAACCATCTACAGATTCAATGCAATCCCTATCAAATTTCCAATGGCATTTTTCACAGAAGTAGGAAAAAAAACCCTAAAATGCTTATGTAACCACAAAAGACATCCAATAGCCAAAGCAATCCTGAAAAAGAAAAATAGAAAAAAGGCTGGAGGCATCACACTTCCTGATTTCAAACTATAGTGCAAAACTATAGTAATCAAAACACTATGGTACTGGCATAAAAACAGACACATAGACCAATGGAACAGAACTGAGAGCCCACAAATAAACCCATGCATATATGGTCAACTAATACTTGACAAGGGAGCCATGAAAACTCAATGGGGAAAGGATAGTATCTTCAATAAATAGTGTTGGGAAAACTGGATAACCACATGCAGAAAACTGAAATTGAACCACTATCTTAACACCACTCACAAAATTTAACTAAAAATGGATTAAATACTTAAATGTAAAACTGGAAACTGCAAAACTCCTAAAAGAAAACACAGGGAAGCTTCTTGACATTGGTCTTGGCAGTGATTTTTTAGGGTATGACACCAAAAGCACAAGCAAAAAAAGTGAAAATCAGGAACTTCCCTAGTGATCCAGTTGGTAAGACTCTGTGTTCCCAGTGCAGGGGGCCTGGGTTCGATCCCTGGTAAGGGAACTAGATCCCGCAGGTATGCCACAACTAAGAAGTCTGCATGCTGCAACAAAGATCCCTCATGCTGCAACTAAGACACAGCTCAGCCAAAAATAAATAAATATAAATCTTTTTTTAAAAAAGAAAATCCAAAAGTGGGACTACATTAAACTAAAAAGCTTTTGTACAGCAAAAGAAACAATCAACAAAATGAAAAAGCAACCTATTAAATGGGAGAAAATATTTGCAAACTGTATAGTTGGATAAGCATTTAATATCTAAAATATATAAAGAACTCATACAATTCAATAACAACAACAACAAACAATTTTAAAATGGGCAGAGGAACTGAATAGACATTTTTTTTCCAAAGGAGACATACAAATGTCAACAGGTACGTGAAAAGATGCTCAACATCACTAATCATCAGAGAAATGCAAATCAAAACCACAATGAGATATCACCTCACACCTGTTAGAATGGCTATCATCAAAAAGGCACAAGGTAACAAGTGCTGACAAGGATGTGGAGAAACGGGAATCCTGTGCACCGCTGGTGGGAATGTAAATTGGTGCAGCCACTATGAAAAATGGTATGGAGATTCCTCAAAAAGTTAAAAATAGAACTACCATATGATCCAGCAATTCCACTTCTGGGATTATCCAAAGAAAATGAAAACACTAACAAAAAAATATATGCACCCCCCCACCATGTTCATTGCACCATTATTTACAATAGCCAAGGTATGGAAACAATCTAAGTGTCTGTCAACAGATGAATGGATAAAGAAGATGTGGTACGTACAATGAAATATTATTAAGCCATAAAAAAGAATGAAATCTTGCCATTTGTGACAACACGGATGGACCTTGAGGGCATTACGTTAAGTGAAGTAAGTCAAACAGAGAAAAACAAATACTGTATAATATTATACACATGTGGACTCTAAAAAAGCTAAACTTGTAGAAGTAAAGAGTAGAATGGTGGTTACCAGGGGCTGCTGGGTGGGGGAAATGGGGAGATGTTCATCAAAGAGTACAAACTTTCAGTTAGAAGATGAATAAGTTCTGGGGACCTAATGCACAGCATGGTGATTATAGTTAACAAAAATGTATACTTCAAAGTTACTAAGATAGTAGATCTTAAATGTTCTCACCACAAAAAAGAAATGGTAATTATGTAATGTGATAGAGGTGTTAGCTAATGGTGGTAATCATATTGCAATATATAAGTGTATCAAATAAACACACTGTACACCTAAATTTACACAATGTTATATGCCAAGTGTATCTCAATAAACCTAGGGGAGGGAATTGATGTGCCTGGGGCACAGTGATGCAGGGTGAGAGACAGGAGATGGGATGGAAAGCAAGGAAGGGACTCTGTCATGAAGTACTTTAAGGGCCATGGAAAGGAGTTACAATAAATTCCAAAGACAAAGCATAAACAAAACGTAGTACATACATGCAATGGAATATTATTCAGCCTTAAAAAGGAAATAAATTCTGACACCTGCACAACATGGATGAAACTTGGACATTAAGTGAAATAAGCCACCCACAAAAAGACAAATACTGTATGAGTCCACTTATATAAGGTACCTAGAGCAGTCAAATTCATAGAGACAGAAAGTAGAATGGTGGTTGCTAGGGGCTGGGAGAGGGGGGAATACAGAGTTGTTGTTCAATTGGTACAGATTTCAGTTTTGCAAGAGAAAAGAGTTCTGAAGATTGGTTGCACAACAATTTGGATGTACTTAACTCTACTGAACTATACATTTAGAAATGGTTAAGAGGCTAAATTTATGTTACATGTATTTTACTACAATTAAAAATAATAAATCCAAAGACAAAGGAGACTCAGTAGAGTTGTGTCAAGCAGGGTAGTGACATGATGTGATTTACATTTCAAAAAGTTCCCTCTAGGAACCCTCCTACACTGTTGGTGGGAATGTAAATTGGTGCAGCTACTATGGAAAACAATATGGAGGTTTCTCAAAAAACTGAAAATAGAGTTGACATGATCCAGCAATCCCACTCCTAGGCATATATCTGGACAAAACTCTAATTTGAAAAGATACATGCACCCTTATGTTCATAGCAGCACTATTCACAATAGCCAAGACATGGAAACAACCTAAATGTCCATTAACAGATGAATGGATAAAGATGTGGTGTGTATATACAATGGAATATTACCCAGCCATTAAAAAGGGTAGCGTTATTTGCAACAACATGGATGGACCTAGAGGTTATCATACTAAGTGAAGTAATTCAGACAGAGAAAGACAAATACCCTGTGATATCACTTATATGTAGAATCTAAAATAGGACACAAATGAACTTATCTACCAAAGAGAAACAGACTCACAGACACGGAGAACAGACTTGTGTTCGCCAAGGGGGAGCAGGTGTGGGGGAAGGATGGATTGGGAGTTTGGGATTAGCAGATGCAAACGATTACATATAGAATGGATAAACAACAAGGTCCTACTGTATAACACAGGGAACTATATTCAACATCCTGTGGTAGACCATAATGGAAAAGAATATGAAAAATAATGTTATATAAAACTGAATCACTTTGCTGTATAGCAGAAATTAGCACAACATTGTAAATCAACTATACTTCAATAAAATAAGTTTTTTTTAAAGTTCCCTCTATAAGTCACTTCATTATTATTAATTGATACATTTTCTCAATTAGGACAAATTAGATTTTCTCAACAAGCAATCATCATGGATTATGTGTAAACTATGATTCCTCCTTCATCCATCTGGAGGTTCATTAAGACAGACAAAACAGAGACAAGGCTCCTCCCCATGGTATTATACAGCATTAACTGGTCCAAAATCAAGGATCAGTTGTGCTAGAGTCACTACTAATTGCTATCACCTGGTTTGCATAGGGTTTCTCAAGCAGCTAGGAGTTTGGGAAGGCTAAAGAAGTACGTTTCACCCACTTAGAGCAGCTATTAGATCTGGAAATTAAAAGTTTCTACAAAGGTTAAAAAAAAAAAAACACTCTGCTGTGAAGATTATGGGCTCTGGTCCACATCCCATCCCACTGCCAGGCACACAAAGCTGTCACACGCTGGACAGTAATGATTGTTGTGCTAGTCAAGGGTTGTATCTAGGGTTTGAGTGACAGCTGCCAGTGAGACAAAAATGACCTCTGACCTGGAAGCATCAGCCTCATCCTCAAAAGTTGGAGTTGTGCTGCAAATGTCTGAATATCCCATCATAAGTCTATTATCAATGAATGTGTTTAGGTAGTTCTTGAACCTCTTCTCATGCATTTGTTTCCACTCCCAGTCCTTAAAAGATACTCTATATGACAGACTCTAGATCTCTCCACCTCATTACAAATAGCTCAATTTCATTTCTTTTTATGGCTGAGTAATATTCCATTGTATATATGTGCCACATCTTCTTTATCCATTCATCTGATGATGGACACTTAGGTTGTTTCCATCTCCTGGCTATTGAAAATAGAGCTGCAATGAACATTTTGGTACATGACTCTTTTTGAATTATGGTTTTCTCAGGGTATATGCCCAGTAGTGGGATTGCTGGGTCATATGGTAGTTCTATTTGTAGTTTTTTAAGGAACCTCCATACTATTCTCCATAGTGGCTGAGGTGGATAGACCTAGAGTCTGTCATACAGAGTGAAGTAAGTCAGAAAGAGAAAGACAAATACCGTATGCTAACACATATATATGGAATTTAAGGAAAAAAATGTCATGAAGAACCTAGGGGTAAGACAGGAATAAAGACACAGACCTACTAGAGAATGGACTTGAGGATATGGGGAGGGGGAAGGGTAAGCTGTGACAAAGCGAGAGAGGCATGGACATATATACACTACCAAAGGTAAGGTAGATGGCTAGTGGGAAGCAGTCGCATAGCACAGGGAGATCAACTCGGTGCTTTGTGACGGCCTGGAGGGGTGGGATAGGGAGGATGGGAGGGAGGGAGACACAAGAGGAAAGAGATATGGGAACATATGTATATGTATAACTGATTCACTTTGTTATAAAGCAGAAACTAACACACCATTGTAAAGCAATTATACTCTAATAAAGATGTTAAAAAATAAAATAAAATAAAAAGATACTCTAGTGTAGTTTCAGTTTTGCAAGATGAAAAAGTTCTGGAGATCTGTTGCACAGCAATGTGAATACACTGAATACTACTGAACTGTACACAAAAATAATTAAGATGGTAGATTTTATGTTATGTGTCTTTTACCACAATTTAAGCATTTTTTTAAGAACCCTAGTGTCAACAACTTGAAGTTCATTAATGCAGCAATAAAGTAGCAGATTCAGCCTTTGCTTATTTTTCTTTCCAGTTTAAGAGCTAATTTATTTAACTGTCTTCATTAGAAGACAAGTGATAAGAATTAACCACATCAAAATAACTTTTTTTGTTCACAACCCTAGCAATGAACCATGCCTTTGTGGGATGGGAACAAAGGCATGAATCTAAGCACAATCGATCAACTTGTCATGTTCAACCAATACCCTTTGGATATGCTAATGGTTTCATAAAGATGGCAGGTCATCCCCAATCCTACTACCACAGAATTTATCATGCAGCCCTGGGCGTCTTTTGGTCTCAGGATTCACATCTGGGCTGGGAGTCATGACACCCTAGAAAAGTGATGGGAGATCTTTGGCCTTCAGCCTGATTTCTCCGGACTGACCAGGGGAGAACCAAGAATAGGTCAGAGGCCATGAATGCAGATGCAACAAGGGGCCACAAGGGGGAGATGTGAGTCCAGACCAGAGTTAATCGGTCTGCTGGATTTGTAGCCTGTTTGGTGTCTATGTATCTTTTCTTGCCTGCTCTTTCCCTCTC